CTAGCATGATAACTCCATATAGAATACAGACACAAGCAGACTCCTCACTACAACAAGCTCCCCACTAGGGGCATTCATCAACCACTTTACTTTACATTGAATGGTCTAGAAGAACCTATATACATTCCCATGTACTCTGCGATCCCATGTAAAGATCCCGTGTACTCTGCGATCCCATGTAAAGATCCCGTGTACTCTGCGATCCCATGTAAAGATCCCGTGTACTATGGGATAATATGTAAAGATCCCTTGTACTTTGAGATACTATGTAAAGATCCCGTGTACTATGCGATCCCATGTAAAGATCCTGTGTACTATGAGATAATATGTAAAGATCCTGTGTACTATGAGATAATACAGTGAGTGCGGAATTATTAGGCAAGTTGTATTTTTGAGGATTAATTTTATTATTGAACAACAACCATGTTCTCAATGAACCCAAAAAACTCATTAATATCAAAGCTGAATATTTTTGGAAGTAGTTTTTAGTTTGTTTTTAGTTTTAGCTATGTTAGGGGGATATCTGTGTGTGCAGGTGACTATTACTGTGCATAATTATTAGGCAACTTAACAAAAAACAAATATATACCCATTTCAATTATTTATTATTACCAGTGAAACCAATATAACATCTCAACATTCACAAATATACATTTCTGACATTCAAAAACAAAACAAAAACAAATCAGTGACCAATATAGCCACCTTTCTTTGCAAGGACACTCAAAAGCCTGCCATCCATGGATTCTGTCAGTGTTTTGATCTGTTCACCATCAACATTGCGTGCAGCAGCAACCACAGCCTCCCAGACACTGTTCAGAGAGGTGTACTGTTTTCCCTCCTTGTAAATCTCACATTTGATGATGGACCACAGGTTCTCAATGGGGTTCAGATCAGGTGAACAAGGAGGCCATGTCATTAGATTTTCTTCTTTTATACCCTTTCTTGCCAGCCACGCTGTGGAGTACTTGGACGCGTGTGATGGAGCATTGTCCTGCATGAAAATCATGTTTTCCTTGAAGGATGCAGACTTCTTCCTGTACCACTGCTTGAAGAAGGTGTCTTCCAGGAACTGGCAGTAGGACTGGGAGTTGAGCTTGACTCCATCCTCAACCCGAAAAGGCCCCACAAGCTCATCTTTGATGATACCAGCCCAAACCAGTACTCCACCTCCACCTTGCTGGCGTCTGAGTCGGACTGGAGCTCTCTGCCCTTTACCAATCCAGCCACGGGCCCATCCATCTGGCCCATCAAGACTCACTCTCATTTCATCAGTCCATAAAACCTTAGAAAAATCAGTCTTGAGATATTTCTTGGCCCAGTCTTGACGTTTCAGCTTGTGTGTCTTGTTCAGTGGTGGTCGTCTTTCAGCCTTTCTTACCTTGGCCATGTCTCTGAGTATTGCACACCTTGTGCTTTTGGGCACTCCAGTGATGTTGCAGCTCTGAAATATGGCCAAACTGGTGGCAAGTGGCATCGTGGCAGCTGCACGCTTGACTTTTCTCAGTTCATGGGCAGTTATTTTGCGCCTTGGGACCCTGTTGACTATTTTGAATGAAACGCTTGATTGTTCGATGATCACGCTTCAGAAGCTTTGCAATTTTAAGAGTGCTGCATCCCTCTGCAAGATATCTCACTATTTTTGACTTTTCTGAACCTGTCAAGTCCTTCTTTTGACCCATTTTGCCAAAGGAAAGGAAGTTGCCTAATAATTATGCACACCTGATATAGGGTGTTGATGTCATTAGACCACACCCCTTCTCATTACAGAGATGCACATCACCTAATATGCTTAATTGGTAGTAGGCTTTTCGAGCCTATACAGCTTGGAGTAAGACAACATGCATAAAGAGGATGATGTGGTCAAAATACTCATTTGCCTAATAATTCTGCACTCCCTGTATGTGTGAAGAAATCCCTCTTTTATGTGTAATATTTCTTCCCTATTCATTTGATAGATATAACTACCGAACACAGACCACCCCCTGGCTCGTTAAACTTCAAAGAATGCTTCAATTGAACCCTCTATCTGTGCGGCCAGCGTTCGATTTCCCAAACGCCGGTCTCAACAAGCGAGCGCTGGATCTCTATTTCCCAAATAGCTAGAAGAGCGCTATTCAGTACTTTTGTGCATTCAAATGAGGGGAACAATCGCTGCTAAGAGCCAGGGGAATCCATTCGTGGAATTATTCGATTTTTGCCACTTAACTGAATAGACCGGCAAAACACCCAAACTCCTGGAAAAAATTTTGGCAGCCACCTCGCGGTTAGCCGTCACAAAAGATTTCCACACTTTTTGAGAACACCTGAACCAATCTGGGTGAAATTTGAATATAGTAAAATGGGGTGGATATTCTGTGATAAAAGGTGCTTATGGTAGAATAAAATACAATACAGTACAAGAAAAAGTGATAGCAGCTTCCACACTAAAGTCCGAACTCTCCAACCTACTAGAAATCCAATGTGTTAAAAAAAACGCTATTGTCCAAATAAATGCCAAGTAGTGAGAAGTGTGTAGCGTTTTAACAAATAAACGAACACTTACACCTGGATTTCTCAGGAGATATAGACAATGGGTGGGAAAATCCTAAAAATGAAATATATAAAATATGGTGCAATATGATTGGTATAGTGGTGAGAGAAATATCTTATACTGGATTCACTCACATGGTCTAGAGCCTCTTAAGGATCGGCTCTGATCTCATCCACTTTTGTGTCCTTAAGGTGACACACACCCTAAACGTCCATATTAGGCGAAACCCTCAAAATGGAGACAAAAAATGGAGAGAACAGGGAAGCAATGATGACCCTGGTGCAGAAATCCTTGATGTAATAAAGTCATCATTATAAGTCACACCAACTGCACCTTTAAGAATATTCCATAATAACATATGTATATACCCATTCTATTATATCTATATTTAATTTTTTTTTAACACATTGAAATTTGAATATGTTGATCACCCAGATCGGGGACATATTATTTGTGGGGATACCCCATGCCTAAAGGGGTGTTCTGAATATTGGGGAAAATTGTGATTTTTCTTTTATTACTTTATCAGACTTGATTATCTCCCGGACTAGGGGAGGGAATTGTATGTTTGTGCTTGGAGTGTTTTATGTTTTCCTTGTTAATGATTGGATGTACTTTGTCCCTCTCTGTGGGATGTCCCCTTGCATGGGGAATTGCATAAAAGCCAGTGTGTGGCCATTAAAAGCCAGTTCTGTTGTACCCTTCTTCTTGACTTCGGCTGATGTTTGGGGATTCGTATGCTTTATTAAGGGAATCCTCTTGTAAAGCTATTTGTATTCGTATGGATTTCATCTATTCTATCTACCGAACGGAGAGCTATAATCACTGATGCTCTGGCCGTTCGGGAGGAAACTACCGCATGAGGATTGAATATACTAGGTTTCCTTACAATATGTTAAGATCCTGTGTACTATAAGATAATATGTAAAGATCCCATGTACTATGAGCTATGTAAAGACCCCATGTACTATAAGATAATATGTAAAGATCCCGTGTACTATGATATCCCATGTAAAGATCCTGTGTACTATGAGATAATATCTAAAGATCCCATGTACTATGAGCTATGTAATGACCCCATGTACTATGAGATAATATATAAAGATCCTGTGTACTATGATATCCCATGTAAAGATCCCGTGTAAATGAGATAATATGTAAAGATCCCGTGTACTATGACATCCCATGTAAAGATCCTGTGTACTATGAGATAATTTGTAAAGATCCCATGTACTATGATATCCATTGTAAAGATCCCGAGTACTATGATATCCCATGTAAAGATCCCATGTACCATAAGATAATATGTAAAGATCCTGTGTACTATGAGATAATATGTAAAGATCCTGTGTACTATGATATACATTGTAAAGACCCCGTGTACTATGATATCCCATGTAAAGATCCTGTGTACTATGAGATAATATGTAAAGATCCTGTGTACTATGAGATAATATGTAAAGATCCTGTGTACTACAAGATAATATGTAAAGATCCTGTGTACTATAACATAATATGTAGAGATCCCATGTACTATAAGATAACATGTAAAGGTCCTGTGTCCTATGAGATCCCATGTAAATATCCTGTGTACTATGCGCTATGTAAAGATCCCGCATACTATGAGATAATATGTAAAGATCCCCATCCCATGTAAAGATCTGGTGTACTATAAGATAATATGTAAAGATCCCATGTACCATGAGCTATGTAACGACCCCATGTACTATAAGATAATATGTAAAGATCCGTGTACTATGATATCCCATGTAAAGATCCTGTGTACTATGAGATAATATGTAAAGATCCTGTGTACTATGATATCCCATGTAAAGACCCCATGTAATATGAGATAATATGTAAAGATCCTGTGTACTATGATATCCCATGTAAAGATTCTGTGTACTATGAGATAATATGTAAAGATCCTGTGTACTATGATATCCCATGTAAAGACCCCGTGTACTATGAGATAATATGTAAAGATCCTGTGTACTATGATATCCCATGTAAAGACCCTGTGTACTATGATATCCCATGTAAAGATCCCGTGTACTATGAGATAATATGTAAAGATCCTGTGTACTATGATATCCCATGTAAAGATTCTGTGTACTATGAGATAATATGTAAAGATCCTGTGTACTATGATATCCCATGTAAAGACCCTGTGTACTATGATATCCCATGTAAAGATCCCGTGTACTATGAGATAATATGTAAAGATCCTGTGTACTATGACATCCCATGTAAAGATCCTGTGTACTATGACATCCCATGTAAAGATCCTGTGTACTATGAGATAATATGTAAAGATCCTGTGTACTATGATATCCACTGTAAAGACCCTGTGTACTATGATACCCCATGTAAAGATCCTGAGTACTATGATATCCCATGTAAAGATCCTGTGTACTATGAGATAATATGTAAAGAACCTGTGTACTATGATATACATTGTAAAGACCCCGTGTACTATGATATCCCATGTAAAGACCTCGTGTACTATGAGATAATATGTAAAGATCCTGTGTACTACAAGATAATATGTAAAGATCCTGTGTACTATAACATAATATGTAGAGATCCCATGTACTATAAGATAACATGTAAAGGTCCTGTGTCCTATGAGATTCCATGTAAATATCCTGTGTACTATGCACTATGTAAAGATCCCGCATACTATGAGATAATATGTAACGATCCCATGTACTAAGCGATCCCGTGTACTATGAGATAATATGTAAAGATCCCATGTACTATAAGATAATATGTAAAGATCCAATGTACTATGAGATCCCATGTAAAGATCCTGTGTACTATGAGATATGTAAAGACCCCATATGATATAAGATAATATGTAAAGATCCCATGTACTATGTGATCCCATGTAAAGATCCCGGGTACTATGAGATAATATGTAAAGATTCCATGTACTATGTGATAATATGTAAATTGACTATGATATCCCGTGTACTATGATATCTCATTTAAAGATCCAGTGTACTATGATATCCCATGTAAAGATCCCATGTACTATGAGATATGTAAAGATCATGTGTATTATGAGATAATATGTAAAGATCCTGTGTACTATGAGATCCCATGTAAAGACCCCTTGTACTTTGAGATACTATGTAAAGATCCTGTGTACTATGATATATGTAGAGATCCCATGTACTATAAGGTAACATGTAAAGGTCCTGTGTCCTATGAGATCCCATGTAAATATCTTGTGTACTATGAGATATGTAAAGATCCTGTGTACTATGAGATCATATGTAAAGATCCCATGTACTATGAGATCATATGTAAAGATCCTGTGTACTATGAGATCATTTACTATGAGCTATGTAAAGACCCCATGTAATATAAGATAATATGTAAAGGTCCTGTGTGCTATGTGATCCCATGTAAAGATCCTGTGTACTATGAGATAATATGTAAAGACCCCATGTACTATAAGATAATATGTAAAGATCCCATGTACTATGTGATCCCATGTAAAGATCCCGGGTACTATGAGATAATATGTAAAGATTCCATGTACTATGTGATAATATGTAAATTGACTATGATATCCCGTGTACTATGATATCCCATTTAAAGATCCAGTGTACTATGATATCCCATGTAAAGATCCCATGTACTATGAGATATGTAAAGATCATGTGTGTTATGAGATAATATGTAAAGATCCTGTGTACTATGAGATCACATGTAAAGACCCCTTGTACTTTGAGATACTATGTAAAGATCCTGTGTACTATGTGATCCCATGTAAAGATCCTGTGTACTATGAGATCCCATATAAAGATCCTGTGTACTATGAGATAATATGTAAAGATCCTGTGTACTATAAGATAATATGTAAAGATCCTGTGTACTTTGAGATATGTAGAGATCCCATGTACTATAAGATAACATGTAAAGGTCCTGTGTCCTATGAGATCCCCTGTAAATATTGTGTATTCTATGCGCAATGTAAAGATCCTGCGTACTATGAGATAATATGTAAAGATCCCATGTACTATGCGATCCTGTGTACTATGAGATAATATGTAAAGATCTCATGTAATATAAGATAATATGTAAAGATCCAATGTAATATAAGATAATATGTAAAGATCCAATGTACTATGATCTATGTAAAGACCCCATGTACTATAAGATAATATGTAAATGTCCTATGTGCTATGAGATCCCATGTAAAGATCCTGTGTACTATGAGATATGTAAAGACCCCATATAACATAAGATAATATGTAAAGATCCCATGTACTAGGTGATCCCATGTAAAGATCCCGTGTACTATGAGATAATATCTAAATACACCGTGTACCATGAGATAATATGTAAAGATCCCGTGTACTATGAGATAATATGTAAAGATCCTGTGTACTATGATATCCCATGTAAAGACCCTGTGTACTATGATATCCCATGTAAAGACCCCGTGTACTATGAGATATGTAAAGATCCTGTGTACTATAAGATAATATGTAAATATCCTGTGTACAATAAGATAAAATTTAGAGATCCCATGTACTATAAGATAACATGTAAAGGTCCTGTGTCCTATGAGATCCCATGTAAATATCCTGTGTACTATGAGATATTTAAAGATCCCGTGTACTACGAGATAATATGTAAAGATCCCATGTACTATGCGATCCTGTGTACTACGAGATAATATGTAAAGATCCCATGTACTATAAGATAATATGTAAAGATCCTGTGTACTATGATATCCAATGTAAAGATTCTGTGTACTATGAGATAATATGTAAAGATCCTGTGTACTATGATATCCCATGTAAAAATCCAGTGTACTATGATATCCCATGTAAAGATCCCATGTACTATGAGAAATGTAAACATCACGTGTACTATGAGATAAAATGTAAAGATCCCATGTACTATGCGATCCCGTGTACTATGAGATAATATGTAAATATCCCATGTAGTATAAGATAATATGTAAAGATCCCATTTACTATGAGCTATGTAAAGACCCCATTTAATATAAGATAATATATAATGGTTCTGTGTACTATGAGTTCCCATGTAAAGATCCTGTGTACTTTGAGTGTAAAGACCCCATATAATATAAGATAATATGTAAAGATCCCATTTACTATGTGATCCCATGTAAAGATCCTGTGTACTATGATATCCCATGTAAAGATCCCATGTACTATGAGATAATATGTAAAGATCCAATGTACTATGTGATCCCGTGTACTATGAGATAATATGTAAATATCCCATGTACTATAAGATAATATGTAAAGATCCCATTTACTATGAGCTATGTAAAGACCCCATGTAATATAAGATAATATGCAAAGGTCCTGTGTGCTATGAGTTCCCATGTAAAGATCCTGTGTACTATGAGATATGTAAAGACCCGAAATGATATAAGATAATATGTAAAGATCCCATGTACTATGTGATCCCATGTATAGATCCCATGTACTATGAGATAATATGTAAAGATTCCATGTACTATGAGATAATATATAAATATCCTGTGTACTATGATATCCAATGTAAAGATCCAGTGTACTATGATATCCCATGTAAAGATCCCATGTACTATGAGATATGTAAAGATCCTGGGTACTATGAGATCCCATGTAAAGACCCCTTGTACTTTGAGATACTATGCAAAGATCCCGTGTACTATGCGATCCCATGTAAAAATCCTGTGTACTATGCGATCCCAAGTAAAGATCCTGTGTACTATGAGATAATATGTAAAGATCCTGTGTACTATGAGATAATATGTAAAGACCCCGTGTACTATGAGATAATATGTAAAGATCATGTGTACTATAAGATAATATGTAAAGATCCTGTGTACTATGAGATATGTAGAGATCCCATGTACTATAACGTAACATGTAAAGGTCCTGTGTCCTATGAGATCCCATGTAAATATCTTGTGTACTATGAGATATGTAAAGATCCTGTGTACTATGAGATCATATGTAAAGATTCCATGTACTATGAGATCATATGTAAAGATCCTGTGTACTATGAGATCATTTACTATGAGCTATGTAAAGACCCCATGTAATATAAGATAATATGTAAAGGTCCTGTGTGCTATGTGATCCCATGTAAAGATCCTGTGTACTATGAGATAATATGTAAAGACCCCATGTACTATAAGATAATATGTAAAGATCCCGTATACTATGATATCCCATGTAAAGATCCTGTGTACTATGAGATAATATGTAATGACCCCATGTACTATAAGATAATATGTAAAGATCCCGTATACTATGATATCCCATGTAAAGATTCTGTGTACTATGAGATAATATGTAAAGATCCTGTGTACTATGATATCCCATGTAAAAATCCAGTGTACTATGATATCTCATGTAAAGATCCCATGTACTATGAGAAATGTAAACATCACGTGTAGTATGAGATAAAATGTAAAGATCCCATGTACTATGCGATCCCGTGTACTAGGAGATAATATGTAAATATCCCATGTACTATACGATAATATGTAAAGATCCCATTTACTATGAGCTATGTAAAGACCCCATGTATTATAAGATAATATGTAAAGGTCCTGTGTACTATGAGATCCCATGTAAGGATACTGTGTACTATGAGATATGTAAAGACCCGATATGATATAGGATAATATGTAAAGATCCCATGTACTATGTGATCCCATGTAAATATCCCATGTACTATGAGGTAATATGTAAAGATTCCATGTACTATGAGATAATACATAAATATCCTGTGTACTATGATATCCCATGTAAAGATCCAGTGTACTATGATATCCCATGTAAAGATCTCATGGACTATGAGATATGTAAAGATCATGTGTACTATGAGATCCCATGTAAAGACCCCTTGTACTTTGAGATACTATGTAAAGATCCCGTGTACTATGCGATCCCATGTAAAGATCCTGTGTACTATGAGATCCCATGTAAAGATCCTGTGTACTATGAGATAATATGTAAAGGCCCCGTGTACTGTAAGATAATATGTAAAGATCCTGTGTACTATAAGATAATATGTAAATATCCTGTGTCCTATGAGATCCGATGTAAATATCGCGTGTACTATGAGATATGTAAAGATCCTGTGTACTATGAGATAATATGTAAAGATCCTGTGTACTATGATATCCCATGTAAAGATTCTGTGTACTATGAGATAATATGTAAATATCCTGTGTCCTATGAGATCCCATGTAAATATCGCGTGTACTATGAGATATGTAAAGACCCCATGTACTATAAGATAATATGTAAAGATCCTGTGTACTGTGATATCCCATGTAAAGATCCAGTGTACTATGATATCCCATGTAAATATCGCGTGTACTATGAGATATGTAAAGACCCCATGTACTATAAGATAATATGTAAAGATCCTGTGTACTATGATATCCCATGTAAAAATCCAGTGTACTATGATATCCCATGTAAAGATCCCATGTACTATGAGAAATGTAAACATCACGTGTACTATGAGATAAAATGTAAATATCCCATGTACTATGTGATCCCGTGTACTATGAGATAATATGTAAATATCCCATGTAGTATAAGATAATATGTAAAGATCCCATTTACTATGAGCTATGTAAAGACCCCATTTAATATAAGATAATATATAATGGTCCTGTGTACTATGAGTTCCCATGTAAAGATCCTGTGTACTATGAGTGTATAGACCCCATATAATATAAGATAATATGTAAAGATCCCATGCATTATGTGATCCCATGTAAAGATCCCATGCATTATGTGATCCAATGTAAAGATCCCATGTACTATGATATCCATGTAAAGATCGCATGTTCTATGAGATATGTAAAGATCATATGTACTATGAGATAATACGTAAAGATCCAATGTACTATGCGATCCAGTGTACTATGAGCTATGTAAAGACCCCATGTAATATAAGATAATATGCAAAGGTCCTGTGTGCTATGAGTTCCCATGTAAGGATACTGTGTACTATGAGATAATATGTAAAGACCCGATATGATATAAGATAATATGTAAAGATCCCATTTACTATGTGATCCAATGTAAAGATCCCATGTACTATGAAATAATATGTAAAGATTCCATGTACTATGTGATAATATGTAAAGATCTTGTGTACTATGAGATAATATGTAAATATCCTGTGTACTATGATATCCCATGTAAAGACCCCATGTACTATGAGATATGGAAAGATCCTGTGTACTATGAGATCCCATGTAAAGACCCTTTGTACTTTGAGATACTATGTAAAGATCCCGTGTACTATGCGATCCCATGTAAAGATCCTGTGTACTATGAGATCCCATGTAAAGATCCTGTATACTATGAGATAATATGTAAAGACCCCGTGTACTATGAGATAATATGTAAAGATCCTGTGTACTATAAGATAATATGTAAAGATCCTGTGTACTATGAGATAATATGTAAAGATCCCATGTACTATGCGATCCCATGTACTATGAGATATGTAAAGACCCCATGTACTATAAGATAATATGTAAAGATCCTGTGTACTATGATATCCTATGTAAAGATCCTGTGTACTATGAGATAATATGTAAAGATTCTGTGTACTATGATATCCCATGTAAAGATCCAGTGTACTATGATATCCCATGTAAAGATCCCATGTACTATGAGATATGTAAAGATCATGTGTACTATGAGATAATATGTAAAGATCCAATGTACTATGCAATCCCGTGTACTATGAGATAATATGTAAATATCCCATGTACTATAAGATAATATGTAAAGATCCCATTTACTATGAGCTATGTAAAGACCCCATGTAAGATAAGATAATATGCAAAGGTCCTGTGTACTATGAGATCCCATGTAAAGATCCTGTGTACTATAAGATAAAATGTAAAGATCCCGTGTACTATAAGATAATATGTAAAGATCCCGTGTACTATGAGATAATATGTAAATATCCCATGTAGTATAAGATAATATGTAAAGATCCCATTTACTATGAGCTATGTAAAGACCCCATTTAATATAAGATAATATATAATGGTCCTGTGTACTATGAGTTCCCATGTAAAGATCCTGTGTACTATGAGATATGTAAAGATCATGTGTACTATGAGATAATATGTAAATACCCCATGTACTTTAAGATAATATGTAAAGATCCCATTTACCATGAGCTATGTAAAGACCCCATGTAATATAAGATAATATGTAAAGGTCCTGTGTTCTATGAGATCCCATGTAAAGATCATGTGTACTATGAGATATGTAAAGACCCCATATAATATAAGATTATATGTAAAGATCACATGTACTATGTGATCCCATGTAAAGATCCCGTGTACTATGAGATAATATGTAAAGATCACATGTACTATGCGATCCCATGTAAAGATCTCGTGTACTATGAGATTTGTAAAGACCCCATGTACTATAAGAGAATATGTAAAGATCCCGTTGTAACGGACCGTTTTGCACAAAAAGGGTAAAAAACGTTTAAGCGATCGGCCCCCTTTCCAGAGATGCAGGCACAGCTACTGCAGAACACCAAACACACGAACCGCCAATAAGTGAATGCTCCAAACACCCGAACTGCATACAAGGGAATGCTCCAAACACCCGAACTGCATACACAGGAATGCTCCAAACTCCCGAACTGCATACAAGGGAATGCTCCAAACACTCGAACTGCATACAAGGGAATGCTCCAAACACTCAAACTGGAACCTCACGAATAGCTGCTAGCAGACGAACAGGAAAAGCACCCAAGCGGCTTACACTCCTAGCAATCAGTCTCTAACAGCATACAGTAAATCCCCCCAAAGACGAGACAAGGCTCCGTGTTGAGGGTCAAGCAGTGGTCTGTTTAATGAGGGCTACCTGCCCAGTATTTATGCAGGTCTCCCACCTGGTGGACACTCCCCTAGGGGACCAGATGGAAGACTGTAACAAAAGACTGACATGTACCAATTACAGACACACAGAAGTAAAACATCCCCACAATGCACCCTAATTTCCCTCCCTCTGCCCTGGAGAAGTAATTCAATTATCTCCCAGGACAAAGGCAAAACTCCATTACACACGTGGGGACACAAAGACAGACTATCACTTTAAAATACATAATGGGACAAATGGTACAGTAAATATATACATGTAACATATCCCCAGATAGCTCAGGTCTGAGTGCACATTATTAGGTGAATGGCACTCGGACCACACGAATACAGTTTAATTGCCATGGAGCCAAAGTCTTTAATTCCACGAACAGGCTCCATGGCATAGCTATCTGGGTTAAAACATTCCCCCAACACAAAATACCGAATTTACATACATTTGTTAAATCCGTACGAATTAGAACCAGGGGTTGGAGGTTCAGCGGTGCCTGCACGTAAAAGTGTCCGGGTTTGATGCAGGAAGGCCGGGCAGAAAAGCGCTGGCTGCCCGGGGAGCTCCAGAACACCGCCATCGTGTGGCGGCTAAGTGTAACCGCGACCACCCAGTAACAATCAATTAAGCTGCGGTTAACCGCAGCTACCGGGTGGTCAATTGCTGGCACACGCTCGTTAAGCAGTGGTTAACCACGGCTTCAGGGAGGTAAATGGAGGGCACACGCCAGCTTCTGGGTGGCCAATTAAGGTCGCCGGCCGGCTTCCCATGGCTCTGGGGAGGCTGAAAAGAAACTGTTTGTTCGGTAGATAGAATCTACCGAACGGCTGTGCAGAAAGGGAGAAATAAATCCTTCTGCACAGTAAAATTAATCCAAAGGCAGCAGGTGGGCAACCAGGCTCCTCCAATGCAATGTGGCGAGATTGGTCTCGTCACACCCGTGTACTATGATATCCCATGTAAAGATCCTGTGTACTATGAGATAATATGTAAATATCCTGTGTATTATGAGATCCCATGTAAAGATCCAGTGTACTATGATATCCTTTGTAAAGATCCCATGAACTATGAGATATGTAAAGATCCTGTTTACTATCAGATACTATGTTATGATCCCATGTAAAGATCTGTGTGCTGTGACATCCTATGTAATGATCCTGTGTACTATGAGATACTATGTAAAGATCACGTGTACTATGAGATATGTAAAGATCGCGTGTACTATGATATCCTATGTAAAGATCCGTGTGCTGTGAGATCCTATTTAATGATCCTGTGTAATATGAGATACTATGTAAAGATCCCGTGTAATATGATATACATTGTAAAGATCCCATGTACTATGAGATATGTAAAGATCACATGTACTATGAGATATGTAAAGATCACGTGTACTATGAGCTAATATGTAAAGATCCATGTGATGTGAGGTCCTATGTAAAAGTCACAGGCAGAGAGACAGCAAGACTGACAAAGAGACAGACTGATAGAAAGAGACAGATTGATAGACGGTCAGATGGACAGGCAAACAGGAAACTAGACAGACAGTTGGATGTACAGACAGATTGTAAATACTTAGATAGATGTTAGACATGTGCAGATTCTTCTCTTATTATATACACATGTGCAGATTCTTATCTAGGTGAAGACCTGATATGTCGCTGCTGACGGGGGGACCCAGGTATATTGTCAATATAGTTTGATAACTTATTGTGGGCTGCAGTGGTTATGAGTCTCCCTTTAACAAGACTGAGCTCTGTGTGTAAATAAAGGTAATCAGATTATTAGTATATAAAGAGATACTCACACACAGGTAGCCAGACTGTAAGAAGGTAGATGTACAGAAAGATACAAAGTCCATTCTTTAAACTTCATACTATTGAGTCGTCTGCCCACAGTGTGCTCTGTGATACCATGTTAGCTGTACAGGGATCAGATTGGCCAATTCAGTGTTAATAAATGAGTCCCAACTCAATAAATGGAGCGACTTGGCTGTCTTTCCATCCAGAGACACTGATTATACCGGAGCGCAGGTTGCAAACATTGAACATGAGCGTTGTACAGTGATCCAAACTTGAAAACGCAAACTAGTTAAAACACAGAACAATAATCTCAACTGATTTAACCAGGAGAGATTCCTTTCCCATGTCGCTAGTTTCCAAATTCCAAAATCGTCCTCAGGTCTAGATGAATCTAATTAGCACTCGTTTAATGACTGTGAAAGAACGACAGGCTGGGAATGGCTATCATTACATATACCTTACAACTCAGATCCGGATCCACTCTGAGACTCCTGTCCTTACATTTCATTTCTCTCTGCTGTTTCTGTAAGGTCCGGTGTGAGTATACCCTTAAATTAGGAACCTGTCCATACCGTCTATGTCAGCTACATTATGGTTACGCCAACTCAGCCCCCCCAAATGCTGGGAGGTATCGACTGTGGAAAGCAGAGTTCTTGGAGGAGAGGTCGCCTCACTGGAAGCTGGGTCCCTGACTTGGGTCCATGGTGGGTGGAACACCGCGAGACCCCAGCCAAACTGGAACGCTGGCCACTGGGACTGCAGTGGTTATGGTGTCGGGTGGACTGCTTGAAAGTACTCAAAGTTACTAGGAAGTGCCAGGTGGTCCGCCAAATCGACAAATAAACTGCTTTATTGA